TATTGATTTAATGGTGCTTATTCCCAGGTGAGTATAGGATTGCAGTTTACAAGTATTTTGTGTCTGAAAATAAGTGAGAATAACTTGAGACTTTAAAAATTGCTTTATTTCATAGATATTTTCAGGGAAACACAAAATGCTTTCCTTCTATTTTTGTAAGAAGCAAGCTACTCCCCACCCCATTTTCCCCCAAAGTAACTTTTTTTGAAACTTTTTCTGGCAGAATTATCATAGGAATGAAGGCATTCCTGCCATAGATAATCAGTATTGATGAATTTATTATTGCCCACAGTAAACTTTGAGAAATTTGGACACTTCCTTCTGAACACTATTAAACTGCAGTGCCAAGGTCAATATTTCTATGACAATAGAGGAACTATGGATATGAAATGAAATTTGCGAAAAAACTAAGTAGAGGGAGGTACTTTATTAAGCAATTATTTGTACGATCTAGATAAGACCTTGTACATTACAACATCCAGGATATTTGGGACAGGGCCCTACTTGAGATGGCCTAACACGTCTGTTAAGCCTAGTATCTCTTCCCCACGCTGAAACTTTAAGAAAGTGTGCAATATGTGTTGTAGGAAAGACTTAAGAGAGCAACCAATTAAAAAAAAAAGGTTTTGCATCTGTAAATGTTTTGGCATCCTGTCTAGTCCTTTAAAAAAAAAAAGGAATGAATTCAAACTAAGTTACTTGCACTTGCTTCCAACTGAAATCAGTGAAACTTAAGTCATTACTAACTTTTCACACTGTTTTCAATTAGACGTACGTGCAACTAATTTAGATCGAATCCAACTCAATGATTCATGGTGGGGAAAGGAGAAAGGAGCTAAATTGTCCGGAGATGAAAGTTACTATAGCACAGAGTTGTAATAGCTTGGCTCCATCCATAATACAGTGGTGCCTCACAAGACGAAAATAATCCATTCTGCGAGTCTCTTTGTCTAGCGGTTTTTTCGTCTTGCGAAGCAACCCTATTAGCGGTTTAGCGGCTATTAAAGGCTTAGCGGCTTAGAAAAAGGGGGGGGAGCGAAGCAAGCCCATAGGGAAAATCATCTTGCGAAGCAACTCAAAAACGGAAAACCCTTTCGTCTAGTGGGTTTTTCATCTTGCGAGGCATTCGTCTTGCGGGGCACCACTGTATGTTTTAGCCGAGTATTGCCAGCTGTTCTCCTGCTTCACATCTTTACTATCCCCTTATGTACAGTACTTGTTCTGTCAGTTAAGGCTGTGTGATACAGGAATAGCGGCTTAGTTAAATTGTATGGCAACATTATGCAAATACTTGTGCAGATTTGGGTGGTGGGCTATATCAGTGCCACAGAGAAGCAGTGGTTGTGTTCATTATGCAACTCCCCTCCTCCTATGTATATTGCTGGTATAGTTACATACAGATCTGTGTGATGCCTGACACAGTTGAGATGAAATTGTAGAAGGAAATGAAGAAGTAGAAGCAATATAGTATATATTGTGCATTTGCCATTTCATTATTGAATGGTGTTATTATTTAAGGGCTAGGGGTGTATTGTTTTGAATTGAGAAGCATTGCGAATTTAATGTTAAAAGTTGAAATGCTGTTTGCCATGGACTGTGCAATATAAAATGGATTTTGAACTGAAATCCACTTAATATTTTAGCCCTGGTTTTCCATTCTATTTTGCTGTGGTTTGGGGATAGAATGCTTTTTTAAAATGTTATTTGTATTTTAAATTAATATGAAAGGGATACTGTCAAATGCTATATTTCAGATTTATGACTTTGAATATACATAATTGTTTGAAGAACAAGACATCTGCTATTTGTATTTACTTTATAGCTTTGGTTTCCAGTTACTATGTTTTTCAACAGAGGGTTGAATCCAGAGAACTTTGCCCCTACAGAGGACCTTTCTCCCTCTGAGAAACTTGATTCCTTCAACAGAAGAAACTTCTCTGGATTCAACCCCAAGAATATTTGTTTCGTGGGGCTCACTGAAAGCTCATCAGCATAAATGAGAACACATACTTACTGCATTTCATTTCAGATTGTTCCTCATACCAATACTAGTCTTTACACATTTCTCTGACCCATTGCAAGCTCAATTATGTCTCCCCAACCCTTAACATTGCACTTACACACATGCACGAATGCATCCAATAGGAGCTTTGATGTGGTAGCACAAACCAAACATGAGATGATGCCATGTCCAAGCTTCTATAAGGCCAGAAAGAACTCTCAGCTCAGAGTATTGGAAGCCTCATTGGAGGTGAAGCCTATCATTGTCGCCAGGCCCCTGACAGCGGTATCACCTTTGGATCACGAGCAGAGAGGCCCATCCAGATGCTGCTGCCGCCTCCAGAGTTTTGGCAGAAGGGAATGAAGTCGTTCACAGTTCTATTTAAACTTTCCGAAATAAAACTTTACAGTTCATCTCACCATCTCTAGGCTGAGCATAGGCAAAATACACAAAACAGAAAGTAAATTATGTAGCTGCACTACCATACGTAAAGGTTATCCCCCAAAAACCATAGCCCAAACAATTCCCAATAAATCACTTTGTGAAGGTAAAGATGCTGAAAATGGAAGCTACACAATAGTTCAGTTCATCACCCCAGGCAAACATTGTGGCTGATGAATAACTGGTTGTTATTTATGAATATCCATCATAAACCTTCGCAATCCATTTTCCATTTTTATTTATTAGTGGCAGTGCTCATTTACTGTATTGCAGTATCGCTAATAACAAACCACATTTCAGCTATTCACAAGTCTCGTTAGGTATGGTCCTGGAAATAAAGTTTTAATACTATGCACGCTTACCAAGGAGTAAGCCACACTGAACAGAATGGAACTTCTGAGTAAACATGCAGAGGACTGTACACCAAATATTGTATCTCTTTAGAAATGTATTTGCTTGCATAGTAGGATCTACCACACTAACAAGGTTTGCAGAGGCAGGTTTACCTGCACAAAGAGCAAAACAGAATTTAGCTGGGGTTTGGTTTGGTTTTCAAAAATTTTGTCCATTTGTGTTTCTCTACTTATTATTGAAGATTGGTTTATTAACCTGAAAGCCGCTATGTACAAGAAAAGAGAGAGGGAGAGAGGCTCCGTAAAGAAAGCACAATTGACCAGCGACAGCATTCAATTTGATATTTTGTTTTGTAATTTAAATCAGTGTGGTTTTATTTATTTTTAAAAATTAACAGGAAATTTTGTACCTGCAAAAATATATTGCACACTGGAATGACACCAAACCTCAACTGATCTAGCACAGGCCAAAAAACAAACCCCAATGTCAGTACATTTTATATCTGTACAGATATATCTATACATCTGTATAGATGCAGATGGTTTTTTGTACTAGAATGTTTCTTGATGCCTTCTATGCTCAGGAACTAAATAAAATATCTCTTGTCATTTAAAGTGAATGGCATTTTACCAAATTAGTAATCAGTTATTTGTAGGGTTGCAGGATCTCCTGAGTCACAATGAGCAAAGCCTGGAAGCTAAAGGAAAGAGGCCACTGGGCTGGACAGAGTAGTCAGAGGAAGGGCCCAGGAATTGGTGCCTTAGGGTGCAGGGTGAGGGGTATGGAAGGGAGGGCCAAGCAGTAAAAACCTCTCAGGCATACCCCCTTTCCCTCCAGCTGCCCATTTTGAAATTTTACTCTTCCCATGCTCCTTGAGAAATAGGCCAATACAGTGGTGCCTCGCAAGACGAAAAGAATCCGTTCCGCGAGTCTCTTCGTCTAGCGGTTTTTTCGTCTTGCGAAGCAACCCTATTAGCGGCTAAGCGGATTAGCGCTATTAGCGGTTTAGCGGCTATTAAAGGATTAGCGGCTTAGAAAAGGGGGGGGGAGCGGGAAAAAATCGCAAGACTAGCAAGATGTTTCATCTTGCGAAGCAAGCCCATAGGGAAAATCGTCTTGCGAAGCAACTCAGAAACGGAAAACCCTTTCGTCTAGCGCGTTTTCCGTCTTGCGAGGCATTCGTCTTGCGGGGCACCACTGTATTCTGAAAGTTCAGGACAAAGATCTGGCAGTCCTAGCAATATCACCAACAGGGAAATTTGGAATGCTAATGAATCTGGTTATCTCACTAGACTGTAGTTTAAAAATGAAATACAATTTTATCAAGGTGATTTTGTTTTTAATGGTTCAAATGTTCACTGTATGACCTATTTATTTAATACTTACATATTGCAATAATGTGTGCATATTGTATTTATATTATACAATTACATACCTATGCAACCTTGAAAACTGCATCTGCTGCCCACCTCTCTTTCCCTGGCTTGCGCCTTGTGATGGCATAATAAATAGGGCAGTATGATTTGTGAGGGTATGTTTGCCTTTCCAAGTGTTTGGTTTTTGTAACCCAGACATAATTCAATTAAGGAACCTAAAGGCAAGGGGCAAAAAGCTTCCCTCTCTCACAAATACATACAGCGGCAGCTGAATTTTACTCCAGCGTCCTCCGGATGAAGGGCATAATAATAATAATAATAATAATAATAATAATAATAATAATAATAATAATAATAAATTTTATTTATACCCCGCCCTCCCCAACCAAGGCCGGGCTCAGGGCGGCTAACAACCAATAATAAAAACAAATTGAATGAATACAACTTAAAAACAAGATTTAAAAAATTAATAATAATACAAATTTAATTAATAATAATAATAACAGTATTTACGCAGAGAGAGAGAATAAACGACATGCTTACACTAAATAAAACCTGAATTAGATCATGCATCCCTCTTGTTTTTATTTTTTTAAAGCGGGTGCTACTGCCGCCCAGAAATAAAAGTCACGTTAACACCCCGGATTTCTCCCCCGCCCTATGGGAGAAATAAGCAAGAAGGCAGCCCAGTCTCTAACATTAGAGCCGTCATTCGAACGTTCCGCGCTGCCTTTCAACTGCTCCGCCCCCGCCGGACGTTCAAATCCTAACGGCCGTTCCGCGCGCCTCTACTTCCGGCCTCGCGACGGTTTCCTCCCCCCCTCCTCTTCCGCCAACGGCATTCCGAAGGAGGGAGTCGCGAGCCTCCTGGCTCCGTCGCTATGGCAACCGCCGCGCTGTAAACCGCCGCCGCTTTGCCTCAGGGCCGCCGCCGGTTCGACATGGTGAGCAACCGGCGCGCTACCTCAGCCTCGCCCCGCTTCTTCTTCTGCCCCCTCACGCAACGTTTAGCTACCCTCAAGCTTCCCGAGAAGGGAGAGACGAGGCCGTGGCGTCTCCCGCCCCCCCCCCAAGTGTGGCGCCTCCTTCGTGTGAGAGAGGCCTAACCAGCCTGGGCTTTTCCTCGCTCCTCACCCCCAACGCACCCACCCACCCGGGTTTAGAAACTGGGGGTCCCTCCTGACTGAGGGAGCCCGAGCCTCCCTCCGTGATTCGCGGTCCCCAAAACCGCGCCGGCCTTGATCCTTCAGCCGCCGCCTCCTCACCCCGCCCCCTTTCGTGTAGGACGGCGGGACTTAAAACATAATTTGGGACCTGTATTTTTTTATGCTCGTTTGTTTTGGCCTATCCGCACACACAACCCTGCGTCCGCCTTCTCCCAATAGCTCGTTGCCACAAATAGAGCTCCTCTTGCCTACTGTATAGGGAAGCCTTTTAATGTGCAATGTTTTCTGATGTTTTCATATACATCATACATTTATATACATCATTTTATATATCTGGAGGGGTGTTATGGGATTATTGTTCTTATTTTGATTTTATATATTGTGATCTTTTCTGTGAACCGCCCTGAGACCTCTGGGTATAGGGCGGTATATAAATTCAATAAATAAATAAATATACATTGGGAGTCGCTCAGAGTGGCTGGGGCAACCCAGTCAGATGGGCAGGGTTATCAATAAAATAATAATAACAACAACCACCACCTTGCAGGACGTATAGGGGAGGAATGTATTTCTGCACAGCTTTTAAGTGGGAGAGAGGCCCACTGAGTTGAGCTCAGTTGAGTTGAGTTGAGCTTACATTAGCTTGTAATTTTTTTTATTAAAGCTTTTCATAGTACACTGCGATATAGAAAACTAATGTAAATAAAAAACAGAAACAGCTCCCAAAAAATACAAATAGAATAAATAATATACAGAGTCCTCTCACCATGGAAAACCCAACATTTCCTTGCCTCCAACCCAGGGTCCTCCATCAACCATCTACCACCCATGAGGGCTTACTTTCAAATAAATGCACATAAGAGATGGTAGGGTCATGAGGGTGAGAATTGGGGACCAAGACCAAATGACTTATTGCTGTGTGTTTTGGGTGTTTCCTTGGTTGGTTGGTTGGTTGGTTGGTTTGGTTGTATCTATCTCTACCCCTGAACCTCTGTAGTGCAATGGGTCAGTGTGTTTAGCTCTTAACTGGAAGATTGGTGGTTCATACCCACCACCACTATGGAATAACTGTGGGCAGGATTCCTGTGTTGTAGGGGATTGGACTAGATGACCCTCAGGATCCCATCCAACCCCATTATTCTATTACTATTCTTGTTTCTTTCTCAACAATATATGGGACCTTCTGCTGTCACCTGTACAATAGCTCTGGCTCTGAGTTTTAATCAATTCATTAGCAGGAAATCCAAATACGATACTTTATTGATATGAGCTTCATTGCTGTTTTTATTCTCGTTGCAGGCAGAGCTGGGTCTGAATGAGCAACACCAGAATGAAGTTATCAACTACATGCGATTTGCACGCTCCAAGCGTGGCCAGCGTCTTAAGACAGTAGACTCTTGTTTTCAGGACCTGAAGGAAAGCAGGTACCATGAGGATGGAATACCTGTAATACAAATGTAAACACAAATGAAACCAATATTAGGTGTCATTCCTTAACAAACTATGGGAAGTGACATATTCCAGATGTCAGGCAGCCATGTTTGCTTGCTGATACTTATGTAGAAAGCAGGATCGTCCCACTTTTGGGACGATGGGCATAATTTGGAAGTGCTCAGTCTAGTGATGAGCTATAGCATTTGACCAGTTTGCCAGTCATCTTACTAGAAAAATAAATAGTCATTGTAATACTGCTGAAGCTTTGGGTTGTTAGCACGGTTGTTGTTTTTTAATTCTGTTTTGTGGGCTTTTCTGTTTAGGCTGGTGGAAGACACATATACTATTGATGAAGTGACAGATATACTGGATGGCTTGCAGACTGTGGTACACAGTGAGGTGGAGTCAGAACTTATTAACACAGCCTATACCAATGTATTACTTCTTCGCCAGATTTTTTTCCAAGCAGAGAAGTGGTATCTTAAACTGCAGACTGACATTTCTGAGCTGGAAAATAGGTAAAATGCTATAAAGAGAATTTTGTATCCACTTAAAGTGTACTGATAAGGTCTTTCCCACCACAGTAGTTTCATAAATGGCAGTTTATAGCATAATACTGTTCATGCAGAAGTATCAGTGAATTCATCGGAGGTTACTGCCTGGTAAGTTTGCAGCCTTAGTCTCAAAATGATAGGGGGTTTTTAATCTAAGAAGTGATTGTTTTGTCTTCATTAAAAAAGGTTCTGTCTTGGCATAGTTTTTACATGTAAGACTTCAGGGCTAATTCTTTCATTTTCTAACTTTTCATTTCTTTATGAATTATAGAATATAACTTGGTGTTCAGTAGAATTGCTTGACTAAAATATTTTCTATTCTTTTTCAAGAGACTTACTAGAGCAAGTTGCAGAGTTTGAAAAGTCAGAATTTACATCTTCAAATAAGAAGGTATGTGCCTATTTCTAAAACTCACCAGATGAGACTGTGAGGGTTTTGTGTGTGGTTCTTGTTTAAGTGGAAAGGTAACAGTAAAGAAAGTTCTTGCAACTAGTGAGCACCCCTGCTGAACACAACATGTGAGACCTTTGCCCTGAGTAAGGGAAGGAAGATTTTCTCATGCCGTGCTGTTCTTGGAGCAAGCATCAGCTCTGAGAGAGTTTAGTACTGCTCCAAAGCTTGATGTCCTGTGGAGGTCACTGTCAGTCAGCTCTTCAGGGTGCAGAGAGTGGACAGGCTGACCCAGTTACCCAGCAAGCTAGGGAGAAAGCAGTGACAGCCCAGTTGTGGATGAGATGGAGAGGAAGGGGTTCTTTTCATGACTGGAAGACCAGCTGAGGCAGTCAGCCCAAGATAGCAGACTTTTTAGGAGTGTAGGAATCCCCTTTTTGATCGCTACACCCCTCTTCTCTGATTACTCTAGCATGCACAGAGAATATGATTAAGGGCTCAGTGACAACCACAATTTTAAAAAGACATTTGAAGGCAACTATGTGATTTTAAAAGACATCTGAAGGCAGCCCTGTTCAGGGAAGGTTTTAGTGTTTGGTGCTGTATTGTGTTTTTACTATTTTTGTTGGGAGTCGCCTAGAGTGACGGGCAACCCAGTCAGATGAGCCGTATATAAAGATGTTATGGACTACAATGCCCATCATCCCTAAACATTGGCTGCACTGGGTGGGGCTGATGGGAGTTGTAGTTCAAAACATCTGGAGGGCACCATATTTGCTACAAAATGATTAGTCTTCTGGCCAAAGTATGGAAAGGCTGGAGCAGTAATTGCTATTATAATGCTTGTTAGAAAGAAAATGTTTAATTGAGTACTCTGTAACATTTTTGTGCCTACTGTAGCCTAATCCAGAGTTGGTGAAGCCTAAACTTACTCCATTGCATGAAGGAGCATCAGAATTATTGAACAAGGTAAAACTTGGTTTTTGTGATATTTATGGTGGTTCATTGTTGGTTCAACTGAACCTGTTTTATATTATTTCAAACTGTTTATAAGTTACTGAAGTCCCCATAGCCTCTTCTTAGCTTCATAAGGTGTATGTGTCAGTGGAGTGAAATGGTGTGTGTAATCAAAATAAACGTGAGGGAGGGGACAGGGAAATATCTTTAAAGGCGAAGCTTCTGTCAGAAAAGAGCTTGAAGCTATGTCTTCAGAAATGGAAGCTGAGAACTAGAGGGTGTGCATAGAGCAATCAAGATTAATGCATTTCTACCCCAAATTAAAGTGAGAACATTTCCCTGCCACCACCAGCCTTTAATGATTCCTTTAGATTCAGTTACTTTCATCGTTCCTCATTCTGTGGTGCCTCAACAGCTGCCTGGGGAAACAGGAATGTTAATTAGTTGTGGATCCCACTTTTCATGCTAGTTTAATTTTCTTTACAGCTTCTATTTTTCAAATAAAGCAGGAACAAAGTACAGTATACCAAAACCTAGTAACTTTCTTGGTCTCACATAGGCATACATTTTTTTTCTAGTCTGAAAAACACTTCTGTGTGCTAGGCATGATGTATTTAGGGTTTGGTCAAGAGCAAGCTAATTTTTTAATTGTTCACAGGAAATAGCAAGACTCCAAGAGGAAAATGAAAAATTGAAGACTAGATTAAAGACCATAGAAGGGCATGTAAGTTTGCTTGAGATGTTGGTATATGTGTATCAAAAGAGTAGTAATTCGATTACTTTTCTAAAAATATGTTCTGAATGTTGTTTTCAATCTTTTCCAGGCTACAAGTGCACTGGATGAAAAATCAAAGTTAGAAAAGGCTTTACGTGAGCTACAAATTGCCCAGGGAGATCAAAAGGTTTTCACATCATTTCTATTGAATATTGCTGTTTTGATAAAATTACTTCATGTAGATTATTTTAGTAAATTTTCAGAGATATTCTTGTTAATCTTATTTATCCAGATGCGATCATATGTAATGCTGTTTTAAAACCAAATTTGAAGAATTATACCAATAAAACAAGTTTGGCATTGCAAAATAAGAATTTCTCTTTGAGTAAGGTAAAATCCTAAATTTGAGGCAGGCTTTAAATTTTCTTTCATACACCTTTTTCATTGTTATAATTCACATTTCTTGTTTTGTTTTGCTTTCTAATATGGTTTGCGGTATGTATTTGATTTCTCATTTCTAAGCATTTCAGCACTTTGCTCCAGGGTTTACACTTATACTAAACTATGGTGCATCTGCTATTGTCAATTTAAAAGTGTTTTCATCAATTCTCTAATTCTGAAAATCCTTTCTATGTTTACTCAAAAGTACCCATTGATTTCAGACAGGCTTTATGTAAGTTTTCAGTAAGTTCAGAAAAATTATATGCATGCTTACTTGGAAGAACATTTCTGCCTCCTTCCCAAAGTCCAGTGTCTCGTTTACCTGGCTATGGGAAGGCAACACAAGAGCTGGGTGGGGGTGTCAAATTTTGGTCTCACCCCCTGTACCCCATGCAACAGGGCAGCGTGTGACTTACGGGTTCTATGTCAAAGTACTCTTGTGGCCCACTTGGTATGAAAAGTTGGGCCACCCTGAGCTATGTTATTAAAATAAACAGAGTACTCATAGTGTCCAGGCACTCTTTTAAGTCTCCTGGCAAGAAGGGACTTGTTTTTAGGTAACATTGTACATATTAAGTATACCATTATTTTCTGCATTGCTTTCCAGAATTAAGATTGTACTATGCCTACTATGTCAGGTCCACTTCAGAGTTCTATCTTTGATTTTTAAGTAATGACATAAAGTTACTGCTTTTATCATCCACCTCCTGTTCTGGAAAAAACGAGCCTGAGCTGATGTCTGAACTAGAATGCCTCCAGCTGATCATTAGAAGAACTCTATAATTAAGAAATAGTGCCATGAATTTTCTTTTTTCTCTCTCCTCCCTTCTGTTCCCTTTTTCTTTTGTGTTCAAGGGCAGTTACTTTCATACATTTGTAAGATGCTTTGGGAACCTTTTTGCTTAATAATTGAAATAGAGAAATAAGCTCATTGTATATATTTTTATCATTTGAAACTTTAGATTTTTAGAGAGAACAATTGTTTACTCTTGTAACCAATGGTCATGCATTTATTTAATTAAATCATGAATATATTTTTTTCTTTTTTCAGTTTAACCCAACTCAGGACATTAGTGAGTTAGAAAATACTATGGCTGATCTGAAGTGCAAACTTGAAAAGACTTTGCAAGACAGTACTGCAAGCCAAAAATCATTGGAAGAGAATCTGGTAACAACAAAGCATGACCTTCTTAAGGTTCAGGACCAGTTGGCTATGGCTGAAAAGGTTAGTTTTTATTCTGTTGAATAGTTATAGTCATTACCACTTTCCTTAATGCCTGTAACATAAGGCATTGATAAAAATGCACAAGCTTTTTCTGAAGCAGAATATTGTTATGGCACATATACACAGGGGCAGGGACGCAGGTGGCGCTGTGGGTTAAAGCCTCAGCACCTAGGACTTGCCGATCGAAAGGTCGGCGGTTCGAATCCCTGCGGCGGGGTGCGCTCCTGTCGTTCGGTCCCAGCGCCTGCCAACCTAGCAGTTCGAAAGCACCTTCGGGTGCAAGTAGATAAATAGGGACCGCTTACTAGCGGGAAGGTAAACGGTGTTCCGTGTGCTGCGCTGGCCTGCCAGAGCAGCGATGTCACGCTGGCCACGTGACCCGGAAGTGTCTGCGGACAGCACTGGCTCCCGGCCTATAGAGTGAGATGAGCGCACAACCCTAGAGTCTGGCAAGACTGGCCCATACGGGCAGGGGTACCTTTACCTTACACAGGGGCAGTAACTCAGATCCAGTGTTTCTGTGCATGCAGTTGACACATGAAGGTCCACACATGTTTTTTTTCAGCACCATATTAATTGGTGTTCTGCTGCTTGCCATCAACACCTGTGGGCACAGCTTGACAGACAATACCTCAAATGTGAGTTTTTCAACCCTCTTCCCCCAGTTTTCCTGCAAGGTTAAACTGCAGTTTGCTTGCTCTTTTTTAAAATACATATTTTTGTGCAATTCTGATTTACAGAATTGTAAAAGATCTGTAGATCTTTAAATAAAAACAAAGTAGGACTACTTAGTGCTCTGAGTGTACAGTGTGCTTGTACAACATCTGAGAGCAAGAGGCGGCAGGGTGCCTTCCTGCTGCAAAGGAAACACTGGCTGTTTTGTTTTTCAATCTCTCTGAGAGCTCCATGCAGCAGGAAGACTGTTGGAGCGGTTTGAAAATACAGCGAAAGGAGGCTCAGGGTTGATTGGATTCCTTTCCCCGCCCCTCAGCAACACAATCAGATCCTGGATGCTTTATGCTGAAGCTGAATATCAATTGGAGAAGTCTGGGAAAGAGGAATTATATTAGTTTACAGATGTTTGGCACACGTGTACATGCTCCACTCGGAGCATTGAGCAATCCCAAATATTTATTTTTGTTTTTGTAGGTTGCTCATGTAAGGAGCAACAAGAAGTAGAGGCAATAGAGGTCACCTACTAAAATGTCACTACCCATGTGACATACCACTCAGCCAGCCAAACAAATGCTTTAAGGGGTTTTTAAGTGAGAGTTGTTAAATACATAAACAGTGTCTATTTCACTTTTAAAAATAACAAAGTAAATATATTGGTAATTTCAAATTAACAGGAATTGGAAAAGAAGTTCCAACAAACAACTGCCTACCGCAATATGAAAGAGATTCTCTCCAAGAAGAATGAACAGATAAAGGAATTACGAAAGAAGCTTTCAAAGTAAGCAGTGCTCTTTCATTTGTCCTCTCAGCGTGTGGTTTGTATGGTAATGTTTGCTTTTGCAAAACTTTTAAGAGCTACATACTTCCATTATCTGAAAACAGGTTGGGGCCCAGTGAGCTTGCTTCTGATGCACTTGAACACTTGGGACTAGCTCAGTAAAAATTTATTCCTTTTTCTTTAAAATGCTGACCTTCACGCCATAGTACAAATGACATCAGAAACCCCAACATTTTCAAAACCTGTTTGCCAGTCAACACAAATTACTGCTGTGTCTGAAACACAAGGGTAAAGCTGCCTTGGACATTCAGATCTAGCTGCAGAGTTCTTTGGATCGCAGCCTGAGATCCTGATGTTCTTTCTACAACTTAGGCAGTGAGAACCCATAAACATGCATACCACAAGAGGTGGTCCTTACTGAAGGGCTGCAGAAAGGAGACGAGTAGCTCCTTCTGTTGACAAGATACAATGGTGGCAGATTACACTTCATAAATTTGGTAAGAATACACCAGTAGACAGTGGAGGTGGACACTCGCCTGACGTCTGGTCACCTGTATTGCTGCTGCGTACTGAAACAGGGTTATGTGAGGGCAGCATGGTGCCAGCGTGTTCCTATCTCACTGTCATGTTCCCTTTCATTTCCCTGGTATGTAGCAGCAGTGAGGCAACCAAAGTTCAGATGGGTTCTGCCTCCCCACCCCACTATCCACTGCTGCAATACACTTTTCATCTTCCTCCAAATGTGGATATAGAGAGAGCTAAGTAACCCTAGTGTATATCTAGTCACTTAGATATTTAGAGTGTCCATCTGTTTCAGTACTGTTTCACTGAAATTGCACTGCAGAACTGGAATGGAATGGCTCAAATGGAGCTTTCAAATTCATAGGGTTTTGAGCTGCTTGGATAAGGTTTATAAATTCTAGGGTTATGTATTAAGATGGTAAATTATCAGATTATTGTGTAATTCAAAATAAATTAGATTATTGGCAACATCTTATGTGATTATTTAATCATTACCTTCCTATCTTGCCTGTTTATTTAAAAAAATATATTTTAATCTGTTTTCTTATTTCTTTTTCTTTTAGATACGAACCAGATGATTAAGGTCTGAAGAGCATTTGCTGTGTTAAACTGCCACAAAAAGAAAATGCATAGGATTTTAAAAATATGAAATCTATTTTCCCCAATATGTTGGGATTTATGCTTTCTAAGGAGTTTATTGTTTTCTTTTTCTGAAAAAAATGTTTATTGATAGGAAGCCGTAATAGAATTGAGAGCAAAGAAAAGGCATAGTCTTTATTTCTGTACTTCATGTCTTTGGAATAGCTATCTTGTGGATTGCCTGGAAAACTACAAACATGGAGGTATTAATTCTTGTGAAGTAGAAAGATTTATTTTAAACAAAACCAAAAGTTCAAATTCCAGTTCTTTTCATACCTATAAGGTACAGACCCAAAGAGTTAAATTCCTGTAATTTACATGCTTCTCAAACATGGCCTTTCTTTTACAATTGTACTAGGAGCAGTGATTCTCTAAGTAACTTGTTAATTCATACCTGCTATTTATTTTAAAAATTATTAGCTCAATAGTTTCAAAAGAGCTTCTGCACTAAAGGGAGAAAAACAATCTGTTTGTTATGTGTAGGAAGTGGAAAAGCTGGTGCTCAAATGTTAACTAACTAGTAAAAATATATTTTTTGTCTTACACATCTAATTGAAATTACACTGTCTTAAATTTCGTTATTATATCACAGATGTAAGGAATCCCATCTCCAATACACCTTCCATTCATTTCTCTGATGGTTTGCACAGAAACTCTGGACACTCCACACTGAAATCAATAGGTTATATGCAGCAAACAGCCTTTCTGGAATCTGTCCCAGGAAATACATATCACATTCTAGAGGTAAATGTTCAATAGTAGAACAGAAAGTAGAGTTTTTCCCCAAATCTGCTAAGTTGGCAACAGACTAGATGAAACTATTGTTACTTTTGGGAGTGACAGGTCAACCAGTCTTCATCATGCAAGTATTCCAACCTTTTGGGTTCTGTGTATTTGCCAACTATATATTGCTATATATTTTGTCTTCGTTATATATGTTATTAAATTCCTAATTTAATTAAATTCCTAATTAAGGCTAATGAAACTTCTTGCCTCCCAAATCCTGTTTGGTTGTTTTTCAGCAAATACAGAAGGACAAGTTAGGCATTTTTGTATGTAATCTCACAGCAATTTACATCTCTTGACCTTATTCTCTCTTCTAAAAATCAAACAACCAGTGGATATCTTGAGTGAGATCCCATACTGTAGTGACTTATATGGAAATTCTGCTCATATAAATCAAACACAGGTATGCATATTTGCATAGTTCACCTTTTATGAAATTCAGAATATTTTGGTCAAGGCTGTATAGCGGAAGTAGAGCAACTTTTTCAGCCTGAGAGCTGCATTCCTGCATACACAACCTTCCGGAGGCCACATGGTGGCTCAGAGGCAAAATGGATGGCTCATGGTGGCTTGCCTTTATACAGTAGGTGACATTATTATTTACCCCATCCCTTTTTAGCTTCATCTTTGGGTAGGAAAACAAAATAGAATGCAAGAGAAGGAATGTGAACTAATAATTTTACAGAGGAACTCTCTGACCAAACTCTGTTTCATAGTAACAGGCTTTGCAGCATCATTATGTGGATTATTCTTTATGGGCATGGTAAATCTTGGTTCTTTTATTTGCTTCAGCGCACTATAATATAAATAAACATTTCATTATAGAGTATCAATGACTGCTGAATAATTACAGCAAAACTAAGTGCATTTTTTTTAAATACCAAGTTTTCTTTCACCAAAGTACAGCCTGTGCTAAAGAGCTGCAGACACAATATCCAGTATTACTGGACTAGCACAATAATCTTAAATTGCAGTGGTTGTTTTTTCTATTATGAAATGTAGTTTTAAATCTTGATTATTCACATCCCCTCTCTATACATTAAGTTAACAAATCAACATTCTATTTAATTGATAGGAGGGGCTGAAAATAACTTTCTAGAGTGTTTCCTAAGAATTTTGTTTAGCAAGTAACAACCAGAGGGAGAAATAGATGAAGGGTATAATGGAAGAGGCAAGGATGAAAGCAAAGTATTTGAGGGGAGGGAGGAACTCTGTATCTAACAAAGTGTCCATCTAGTTTAACCTCTTGGTTCTAGGATCAGCCTTTCTCAACCTTGAGTCCCCAGATGTTGAACTACAACTCCCATTATCCCTAGCTAGCAAGGCCAGAGCTCAGGGATGATGGGAGTTGTAGTCCAACAACATCTGGGGACCCAAGGTTGAGAAACACTGCCTCCAGAAAGCCCACAAGCAAAACTCTCTCTCTCTCTCTCTCTCTCTCTCTCTCTCTCTCACACACACACACACACACACACACACACACACACACACTACCCTTCAACTGCTGACATTCACAAGTCATTTACCTATCGGGGATAACAGACGATAGACCTATTTTGTATGTGCTGGGTCTGAAGATTCCTTTCCTCTGTCAGAGAAAGCAACCCTTTGGCTCTAGCCCCATGAAACCTTTAAAGGCTTTTCTAAGAATGTGACAGGTTCTAGTGGCAGAGCCTATAACTTACATAGTGTGTATTTTAACATATACTTTACCAATACTTTACCATAGTGTGTATTTGTGTCTTTCATACCTGCTGCTTCAAGACTGCAAAGAAGCTCCTAAATACTTTCAGATTTAAATTACCCCAAAAAATCCTCAAAAACATAAAATTGAATGATTCCTTCTCTCATAGGCCAGCATATAATAGCATTAACCCCACTCTCATTTTTAATAAAATAGATTTTGTTCCCTGGCTGCACCTCAAAATCTGAATCGGATGCATTTACAGTAACAGGAGGTTGCGAAAAAATAACTTTTTCTTTCAATGTGCTTTTGTGCTTATGAAATGAAGCATGTTTTCTGTCAGTCAAAATTTAAGCTGTTTCACATTGCCATGACAGAATAAACAGCTTGCATAGCAGGGAAGCGGCTGAATTCAGTAGCTGGTCACTAATTGACTTGGAAGTGGTTCAAAATGGTGATACTTTAACTGTTCAGTATGTTTCATATGTTTTGGTGGCATTTGTCTAAAAAATAGTGTAAACCAGTATACTTAAAAACATACCCATTTTCTTTGATGTGTCATGAAGAAAAAACAAGGGTCATACAGTCCTTACTGAAAAAGCTCTCATGACATTTGGGGGCAAATGGTAGATAGTTGGGTGTGGGGTATAATTTAGACGGGAGGAAATAGCCCTAACATAGCAGCCTCAATCCAAATCAAAAACACACTATGTGGCTGCTCAGATTTCCCAATATCTTGTCTCATCTTACCTTCAAAAGAACTACTAACAGCAAATAAGCATAACAGAACAAGCAACTATATTTTGTTGCTTGTTTTAAGGCAGGCTACTTTCTGTGTTCCCGGTTTAAGTCATGAGGACCTCTGGTTTGGCACTAATGCACTTTACATGACTAACAATACAATCCCTAATCATATCTACTCAAGAGGAAAGTCCTACTCGCAGGTCAGTGGGGTTAGGATTGCAGCCTTAGTCTAAGGGTACTTCTGTATGTGGGCTTCATTTGTAAATGGTTCTGAATTTACTGTATAACCTACTTGACATTCCCCAGATAAAATGCTGTGAGCAGCAGGAAATAGCAGCTAACATTCTGATATCAGTAATATTGTGTAGATGCTGGGGGGAGGTACATTATCCCTGCATGCATAAACAGTACTAAACATCCATCTGGAAGTACCCCTAATCTGATGTTGCAGCAATGATACTTGGTGCTACCTTTTAGACTCTTACATAAAAACACTGAGAATTTTTGTTAGTTTAACGCCACAGTCTAAATTAAAATATAAAATACTGTGAAAGTGGGTCAAAGACTGAATGATTTCAGTCAGTCTTTCCCTATGATCTTCATTACTGCGCTTAGTGCACATTTATCATGCCATAAATTGGTTATTGGGACGCGGGTGGTGCTGTGGGTAAAACCTCAGCTCCTAGGACTTGCCGATCGCATGGTCGGTGGTTCGAATCCCCACGGCGGTCCCAGCTCCTGCCCACCTAGCAGTTCAAAAGCACCCTTAAGTGCAAGTAGATAAATAGGTACCGCTTTATAGCGGGAAGGTAAATGGCGTTTCCGTGTGCTGCTCTGGTGCCGGTTTGCTGGAGCAGCTTCGTCACGCTGGCCACGTGACCCGGAAGTGTCTGCGGACAGCGCTGGCTCCCGGCCTCTAGAGTGAGATGAGCGCACAACCCTAGAGTCTGTCAAGACTGGCCCGTATGGGCAGAGGTACCTTTACCTTTAAATTGGTTATTAGGAAGGTGACCCAAGCTATTTTACATGTATGAACACATAGGTGTTTAATAAAGTGGCCACTCTGGAGCCCTTGTCCTTAAATAATTTGTATGCACCATATCTTGTTTATTTTATCCTATCAGATCTCTTCAGCTCACTCATTCTTTCCATGATACTCCTCCCAAACTCATCATATAATTAAGACTGCAATCCTCTACAGCCTTCCCTGGACATGCCCAAAATAGTGCTGTTAATCTATATTACATGGTGATATTCGCAGCCAAGGAAAATGTTTCATTCAAATTATTATCTGGTGCTTTATCTGATGTTCCATTCAAGCAGAAATCTGGCTATGAGCAAGCAGGTTTGCACTCTACTTATCTTTCAGATTGCCCATCATTTATTAACTTGTCATAAGAAGCTGATGTTTGACAGAATTGCCATTACGTATTTTTACAAGGTAGGTCAATCACTGATCAGTTAGGTATCAAGAGGAGTCAACAGCAAGGCTTCCTACTCCTCCTCTGGGGTGTATGCGTCCCAGTTAGACTTACAGGAAATGTCCTACATATATGCATCTCCCACTCCTGTGGCATCACTGGCTTTCTCCCATTTGCATCATGGAATCATAGGGCTCTTCCTACACTGCAATTCACAGGTTTCTTGTAAACAATCGGGATGTATATAAATTTTGTTAAAATGAATACATTCCCATTGGGTTCACAGAGTTTTCTGCATTAATAGCACACAGGCCTATCAATGAACCTCATATGAGTTATAGAATCCCCTCTTCCACTGCCAGAGTCAGGGACTTGCCCCCTAGGTGCAGAGCCGGGGGGTGGAGTGAAAAATGTGAATGTTGCCTTCATATAGTAGGCTAGTTTCTAAACACTCAAACCCCACTCTTATTTGGAGTGTTAGGGGAGGGGTAGTACCTCTGGTGGGGGACATGTTCTTCTGGAGTAGTTTGTCCATCTTTGGTCCCCATCCTGAACTCGGTTCTCTCCTCGGCTTCTAGAAGCTGACAGCATGACAGTGCCACACCCAGAAAACGGCCTTGACTGACTGGCTAAACCAGGTGAAGGTAGCCCATGGGTCTCAAGCCCTTGGTGAGTTAGGGACTCGCTGGTGAGTTAGGGACAGGCTCCAGCAGATTGAGCAGATGAGACTAGTAGTGGGTCCAGCGGTCAAGAAGGCAGTTTCTATATGTACTGTGGAAGGAAGTGAGGGACAGATGGGGTTCGTCCACCTGGCGAGGTAGACCATCTAGGGGAAGGAAAACTCTGATCCTAAACCTCCACTGCCTTGTGGAATATCTTTGGGAGAAGAAAAGGCTAAGGAGTGAACTCTACAGAACTCTGGAGTGGAGTCCTTAAGACGGGTGTATGGCACCTTCTATGTCTCCTTCCAGCAACTCCTGCAGCCAAGCTGGTGCCAAACATACTGCTCTGCTTTCCTTCAGACCACATCAGCGAGGCTGAAAGAAGGGGTCTTGTCTGGGCAGCCCAGGATTCCCATGATGTTATGAACTGGCAGGACGACAGGGAGGAGGAAGAGGATCCCGGTGAGGGGTGTAGCTGGGACTGGGACACACCGGGGCAAGCAGGGGCAGAGAAGGAAGTCTTCACTGGGTGATGGAGGATGGCGAGGGGATAGGGGTCAGTACACAAGAACCAGAGCAGCAGGACCCAGAGCCAGAGGGACCCCTGTCTCCACAAACAGGTGTAGGGAACAGTGAGAGGGACATTCCAGGAGACTGAGGCAACCAAGAGCCCATAGCCCAGCTCCCT